TAAGGTTGCCAGGGGCCGCAACTAATCCCAGATATCATGGGTGAAGGCTGGACACACCCTGGACTGGTCGGCTGTCCATCACAGAGCTGTACAGGGACTAATGAGACAGATAACTACGCCCCTTCTTTCATTCCCATCCAAGATGTAACCAGGCCCAATCTTGGGAAAGCAGCATGGTAAGCAGTATTGCATCATAAAAATAATTTCCCCAGATGACCATGTCGTACAAACCCCCTTGGCTAATCACATACAGTATATTTAACTAAATTACTTGTTTGTTACAGTTGAAATAATCTTTCTTTCCATCAGTCCTCTCTTTTTGCATCTGCCTCAAACATCTCAAGTAGAAGCAGGATCCAGAACCTCGTAAGACAAAGAAAAGCAGTTTTCAAAAAATGCAGTGGATGTTAAAGCTATGATTTTATTCCAGCCCTTTCCCAGAAGTTTTTGCCTGCAAGTGATCAATTAGTTGGCTTAGCCTCAGAATGATTGTGGGAAGGTTAAATGTTCAAACCCCAGCTTCCACAGTCCAAGTGTCTAAGAAAGACAGTTTGAGTTTAGAAAAAAAAAAAGTTTTCTCACAAAAAATATTCACTATACAAAACTGATGTTTATAAAGAAAAAAGTTAAAAGATGTTTTGGATGAAATGAAACCTAAATTTATCCTAAATTGTTAGATACAAAAAGTGGTCAAAGTACTGATCTTAATCCTCAGAAACCTGGAATGAGTTATTCATATGAGAAAAGCTGCAGGGATCATCAAGATGTCATTTATTTGACTATGTTGTTGTTTTTCTTTACTTCTTTTATTGCCTATGAAATTATACAGGAACACTTTAGCAAAAGAAAGTTTTTATTTAATTTGTCAGATACCACCGCAAATTTCACAACATTGTTGTGCACTTTAAAGAATGACCTTCATGACGTATAAGGAATTTGTGGAGCAGGCTGCAGACTGAACTGATTTTCACAAAGCAAAATGCACCATGCTACTCAAACCTGAGTGGTTTCTTTTTACTCATATTGGATTTTGAACAATAGATTTTTCAAAAAGGTTCTCCTCCCCATTTTGATGTACAATGAGCCCAAGCAGAAAAATAAAATTGCTGGGACGGGGTGTTGGGTCTGTTCAATAGTTGGTTAAGTATATGAGCATGAGGTCATGACAGAAAGGAGCCCGGTTCTGTTTGGCGAGAGATCAAGCAGAAAGTGCAGTTCTGTGGGTGAAAAAACTGCACAGTGTTGCACAGAAAGAGATTTTTCTTAATAGAAACTCATTTGTTTGAACTAAGCCAGCCGACTTGTGGTCGATCTTATCTTTTATGATGCAGCTGCAGCTCATATTCTCATAGAAATAATGGGATTTTCTTAACAGAGCCTGAAATTTGAATGAGTGGGAGAAGTTGGAAGATATCTGTACTACTGCAGTGATGTCATCTCAGGGATGTGTGTGAGCATTAACAGCACATGCAGGATTTTTATGGGAAATCTGGAAATGAAAAAAAATAAGAGGTATCCACCATCCAAGTGCTGTCTTTTACCAGGACTTTTGTCATTCTGAACTGTTCACTGTTTTAGAAACGTTATTAAGTTGAAGAGAGATAGATAAAGATGTCCATTCACTCATGTGATAACCTAACAGGTTTACCACTTTCAAAGAATCCATTACAACATGTGTCTCTCTCTTTTTTCACTCTGAAGAGATTGAGCAATGAGACTTTTACATACATTTTTTGAGAGATTCATATATGGTGTCTTTTATATTGAAAGGAAACAGCTCTTTAGACCTAACAAGCTAATAATTGGCAACACAGATACTGTTGCTGTGGTACATAACTGGTGTGCTAACAGCTCTGCATTCATTTTCAGTGAATGGGCGGTTAAACTCAAGCATCCAGTGGGAATCTCATAATACCAGGTTGTTGCTTTTTCAGACCTCAAAGAATTAGAACAAAACCCCAAAACAATTGTGATGAGAAGCCTCTCTGCCTCTTGATGGGAGTGTTTTCTGGGGCTGAGTGCTCTGACTGCCCATGTGGGTGTCTTCTTCAGAGTTATTAATCAGGTGCAGAAATCTCAAGCAAAGAGGGCAAACTTCATTCCTTCCTTATGGATGTCTGACATTTCTACTTTGAAGTTGAGCAGCATAGTTAAACCCATAACAGGCATCTGAGGGTTTCCTTTAAATGTCTTCCAGAAGGGATTTTTTTTAAATGGATTAATCTTCTTATTTTCCATGTAACTTGGTTCCTAATCCAGTAATATATCTTTTTATTCTTGTGGTTTGTTTGGTATCTTTTATTATTAATTTATTCTATGCTCTAATCTTTCTGAAATGTTCTGAAAAAAAATCTTATTCCAAAAAAACAAATAAATAGAAATAAGTAACTGGAGACACACTACAGCCATTGTAACTAACTAAACTCTATCTGTTTTTTATCTTCTCATAAAGGTCATCATTTGATAGGCCTTTGGGCCTGATTGTTCACAGGTTGGCCCAGTATTTCTCCTGCCTGATGGCTAAAAACGGACCCAGTGCAGCCGTCACTGAGCTTTTAACCGACTCTGGATCCATGTGGTTGCTGTTGGATTAATTGGAAAAGTTAAAGATTTATCCAGGTTCAGGGCTGGTTTAATTACACTGTTTGCATGTTTTTGTAGAGACAAATGGTGCTCACCCACTCTCTGTTTTTCTTTCAATCAGTCCCTGTTCTTCTCTGTGTTGGCTTGGTTGGAGGGGGGGGGGGTCTATATTCTCCATCCAAGCTTGAACGATGACCTCATGGGGCCAGCAGCTGCCGTCACCATTCTCGTAGGAGTTAATAGGAACAGTATGTGGCCTCTGGAGAAGCTGGTCTTTCTTTTTGCTTTTTCAAGTCGACTCTCTACACGCATTCAATATTTCAGTTCATATTTTCTTTCCTCAAAAACTGGTTTTGTAGCAATTTTTCCATGCAGACCCTCTTTCAAAGAAAGAATCATTTTAATGCATCCATATCTTCATTTTTCAGTTCAGCAATTACTCGTGTTCACCTGCAGCAACCTGCTGATATAAAATAAGACACAATGAACAAAAATGAAAAAGTGGCAAAAAAAAATTAAGTAGAAGGATATCACCAGAATAAGACATTTCTCCCCAGTATCTCTGATGAAAGATTCCAAATATTTGCATATATTTTACAGCATCTCATGTACTAGTTGAAATTCTGTTCGAGTCCTTTTACTCGGCCAAATATAATTTAACTAATAAAGTGCATAGTATTCCATTTTTTTCAGTGACAACACTGAATATCTGGAGTTAAAGACTGTGTACTCCTTCACTGTTGCTGCTTTTTGACTAACTGGCTGATGGACACACACTCAGTCAAACATTCCTCTCTGTGAGTTTTCAGTAATCTCAGTTTTTCTTTGCTGGAATGTCAATGGAAATATGCACAGGCCACATGACAGCTATTTATCAAGAGGAGATGTGCTCACATTATCAGGCATTTGAATCAGACCAGAGGATGGCTGCTTCCAGCTGATACTCATCCCAGTTTTCAATTTTTTCTCTTGAAAAAAAAAAAATCCAACAATCCAAGTACACCTTTGATTTCAAAGTTGCTGAACAGAAATATTTCAGAAACAGATTGCATGTGCATTTTGGAAAATAAAACGTCCATTTCTGGTATTACTTAATTTGCTATGACCAGCGTCATTGGCCTGATGTCTTAGATTTAAGATGACATATGTCCACACCTTCTGGATGAATTTCTATGGCATTTTGTAAAGACCCAAGAACATTTTTGACCCACTTTCATCCTACTTGACTTAAATGTTAAATTGATTGTACTTATGTAGCACTTTCCAGTCGAATTGGCCACTAAAAGCACTTCATAACATGTTATTTACATGGTCTATTTTCAACACATATGGTAACCCTGAAGAATAATTTCCGAGCTTTTTTTTATATAGTTCCCTCAATGAAAAATAATAAACTAACTGGGTTTAGCTTGTGTTTTTCTTTAATATCCATCTATATTAGATTTTTGTTGTTTGTCTTTTGAATGCAAAGCCCTTTGCCATTAGAAAAGCATGCTTTGACTAAAAGTTGCCCACATAAGCAGCCATTTTAAATGTTAGCTGTTAAATACTTGTGACATTGGAGGAAAGGAGTGATAGTAAAGCCCGGGGTTTATTAAGCCAGTATGTGACTGAAAAATTACAATGTGATTTTTGGCTGGTTTACACAGACCGGTCTCCAGTGTTTTGTTTTGCTGTGTTTAACAACTTGAACTGGTTCAATAAATGACAGGTTTGTGGCTGAAAGAGTGAGATCAGTATGCCAATTGCTGAACTGCAAGCCAAGCTCCGGAAGCATTTTTTTAGTTTGAGCTCTCAGGCATTGTAGTGTATGCTTTAATAGCAGTATGCTTTAGGGTTATCGCTGTGTGATACATTTTGTGGTTTTGGAATTGGTTGGACTGATCTAAAATGAGACACACCCCTGAAGAGGAAAAGGGTAAAAATGGATTCCCGTCCGTGGGACACTCCATCAGTAGTTTTGAAAAGGGCTTTTTTATATTTTTTAAATGTAAATGTGAGGTTCTTTATTTATTTCTGAGGCATGTTAATAAAATCACAGACCAGTCTTTTTCATTAAGACCCCAACAAATAGTATCAACTTGAGAAAAAAATAGACAAAATTGTTAAAACAGTAGTATATTTAGGGTGTCACCCATAATTGAAGATGATATTAAGATTCAGAATTTTCCAATTTCCTTTGTCCTCTGGTAAAGCACCCCTTAAAATTGTGAATTAAACCCTGAAAGCGCAGCGTGTTAACTCTGATAACCTACAGATCAGCCAAAAGATTAGAAAAAATCATTGACTGATAGAATAGACAGCATGTCATACAGGTTAAGAAGATCTATAGCAGAGTGACTGAAATGGTCACACATGAAGTAGAACTGCCTCAGACATCATCAGGAAGTTCATCAAGAAGCTTGTACTCTCTGTTGCAGAACTTTAGCCATGCTTAAAAAAATTTGCGACAACCATGACTTTAAGAAAAGCCGTTTTAATAGACAGAGAAAATATTACATACAAAGGTAACTAAAATATTAGACAAAAAATTCTCTCTTTTTATGAAAAAGTAAAATATAAATGGTTAAAATAAATATTCATTAGATTAGTTTACTTTGACTGCTGACGGAAAAGCAGACGAATGCACCAGTTTAAAAAGATCTGAAAGATTAAACAACATTTCGTACCACAGTGGCTTTAGACCAGCAACCTTGGCTTTAGTTTATACATTTTCCGCCTGGATTTCTTTCTTCTATGGGAAAAATGTTTTGTAAAAAGTGCATTACTTATGTTGCATCTTGGTGAAAAGGCCTCTCAAATCTACATGACTTCTTTTTTTTTAATGTGGAAAATCTTTGAACCATATTTAGATATCAATACCTTGCTTTGAAACAGGACCATAAGAAAACAGCTCTTACCCATATGATAAATGAAGCTATAAAGTAATTAAATTAGTTTGGTCTTTATCCCAGTATAACCTGATTGGAGTGACTGTACTTTGTGGTACTGTAATGATATTGTGGTTGTCTATACAGATATGTTTTACATAGGGAAAAGGAGCTGAGGTGAGTCATGAAAGTGAGCCCACAGGTAGCATCTGAAAGCCAGATGTAGAAAGAAAAAAATCAGCTCTCTTGAATGTCTCTTTATTCTTCTGAACTGTCTCACAGGTGGTCATCATTATGCAGATGGAGGGGTGAAGGGCAAATGCCAGAAAACAACCCCAATCACTGACTTCAGCTGTGTAGCAGATTGGATATGTGAATAGTGCCTCTAATAAACACACATCCAGCTGCCCAGCACACATCCAAACAGCAGCAGTCCCAGCTGGGCGAGCTCCTCTGCTCCGCTGGGTAACTGTACTTGCTTGCTGTTGAAACTCAAATGGGCTGATTGAGTCTCCCCCCCACTGCAGAGCACCATGGGAGGCTGAAAGGAGGTGGGTCGCCTCAGCGGTCTGTCAGGACTGGACGCATCAGTCGGCCTCTCTCCAGTAAACAGCAGTGGGTGTTTCCTGTGATCCAGCTCCATCTTGAAGATCTCATATTCCTTATGTGGCAGCTTGATGCCCAGCACCGTGCACCCGTCTGTGGGAGTCAAGTCCTTCTCCACACGGACCTCCCAGCCTCCTGGCAGACCGCATTTTCCCGGCCTTGTGCTGTTCAGCAACTTGGCGGTGGGCTCGTCCCAGGCGGTCACTCTCACCTGGGTTACCTTGAAGACAAACTCGTGCGCTCCCGAGAGTTTGGCGGAGCGGTTTCCCTGAGCGTAGTGGCCAAAGGCCCTCAGGGTGAAAGTGGGCTGCGTGCAGCCGGGGTCGGAGTAGTGCCTGTAGGTTCCCTCCCAGGCGTGCTGGCCGGGATCGAAAGTGAAGTCTCGGGTGAGGAAGAGGATGGTGGGACGGGTCTCACAGCGCTGGCTGACCCAGCGGCCGGCCAGAGACAGAGGGGCAGCGGTAATGCGGGGCAGCTTGGGGGGGCGCAGCTCTGAAGATCGGTACACCAACGCACACACGGGGCAGGGGTGGACATGATGCTGCAAAGTGAGAGACAGAATGAGAGGGGAGGGCAACTCATGACAACGCATTGATTATTTACGACATAAAAACTGTAACTCCTACAGCTGCAGACAAATGTAGTCAAATACTAACAGTGTTTCATTTGCTGGTGAAGAAGACAATGATGATTATGACAGAATGAATAATGGAAAAATATTAAATTAAATGAATATTTCCATACCGTCCCATGGGCCCACCACCCATGGGACGGGCCATAGGGGTCGGGTGCGCTGTGCCCTGGGCGGCGGCCGGAGTCGGGGACCTTGGCGGACTGATCCCCGGCTGCAGAAGCTGGCTCTAGGGACGTGGAACGTCACCTCTCTGGCGGGGAAGGAGCCTGAGCTGGTGTGCGAGGCGGAGAGATTCCGGCTGGACATAGTCGGTCTCGCCTCGACACACAGCTCTGGCTCTGGAACCAGCCTTCTCGAGAGGGGTTGGACGCTCTGCTACTCTGGAGTTGCCCCCGGTGAGAGGCGCCGAGCAGGAGTGGGCATACTCATTGCCCCCCATCTCGGTGCCTGTACGTTGGGGTTTACCCCGGTGAGCGAGAGGGTAGCATCCCTTCGCCTTCGGGTGGGGGGACGGGTCCTGACTGTCGTTTGTGCCTATGCGCCTAGCGGCAGCACAGAGTACCCACCCTTTTTGGAGTCTTTAGAGGGGGTACTGGAGGGTGCCCCCCCTGGGGACTCCCTCGTTTTGCTGGGGGACTTCAACGCTCACGTGGGCAACGACAGTGAGACCTGGAGGGGCGTGGTTGGGAGGAATGGCCCCCCCAGCTTGAACCCGAGCGGTGTTCTGTTTTTGGACTTCTGTGCTCGGCACGGATTGTCCATAACGAACACCATGTTCAAACATAAGAGTGTCCATATGTGCACCTGGCACCAGGACACTCTAGGCCGCAGCTCAATGATCGACTTCGTTGTCGTTTCAGCTGATCTGCGGCCGCATGTTTTGGACACTCGGGTCAAGAGGGGGGCGGAGCTTTCCACCGACCACTACCTGGTGGTGAGTTGGCTCCGATGGCGGGGGAGGATGCCGGTGAGACCCGGGAGGCCCAAACGTGTTGTGAGGGTCTGCTGGGAGCGCTTGGCGGAGTCCCCTGTTAGGCGGAGCTTTAACTCCCACCTCCGGGAGAGCTTCGAACACGTTCCGGGGGAGGCGGGGGACATTGAGTCCGAGTGGGCCGTGTTCCGCGCCTCCATCAATGACGCGGCCTCCCAGAGCTGCGGTCGCAGGGCTGTCGGTGCCTGTCGTGGCGGCAACCCTCGAACCCGCTGGTGGACACCGGCGGTGAGGGATGCCGTCAGGCTGAAGAAGGAGTCCTATCGGGCCTTTTTGGCCTGTGGGACTCCGGAGGCAGCCGATGGGTACCGGCAGTCCAAGCGACGTGCGGCTCGGGTGGTCGCCGAGGCAAAAACCCGGGCGTGGGAGGAGTTTGGGGAGGCCATGGAAAAAGACTTCCGTACGGCCTCGAGGCGATTCTGGTCCACCATCCGGCGTCTCAGGGGGGGGAAGCAGTGCCCCACCAACACTGTTTACAGTGGGGATGGTGTGCTGTTGACCTCAACACGTGACGTTGTGGGTCGGTGGGCGGAGTACTTCGAGGACCTCCTCAATCCCACTGGCGCGTCCTCCGTTGGAGGGGCAGAGCCTGGGGATTCGGAGCTGGAATCTCTAATCTCCGGGGCTGAAGTCACCGAGGTAGTCAAAAAGCTCCGCGGTGGCAGGGCCCCGGGGGTGGATGAGATTCGGCCGGAGTTCCTAAAGGCTTTGGATGTTGTGGGGCTGCGTTGGCTAACGAGACTCTGCAACATCGCGTGGACATCAGGGGCAGTCCCGCTGGATTGGCAGACTGGGGTGGTGGTCCCCCTATTTAAAAAGGGGGACCGAAGGGTGTGTTCCAACTATAGGGGGATCACACTCTTAAGCCTCCCTGGGAAGG